GCGGCCGGGAAAGCTCTTATGTGGGTTAAAAACATTACCGATTTTGGGAGATTTTGCAATCTAAACATTCCTTGTCTCAGAATAAATATTACTGTAATCTTTATGAGCTCCTCAACCGAAGAATTCACGCATTAGTAGGAAAACTCGAAAACAGATGTTTCTGTTGGTATCCGGCAGCCATATTGGTGTTCCTGAAAGGGACACCAACATGGCGTTTCTATACAAAGCTTTATAAATTTAGGTAAACTGTTTTTTCCAGTATCTCGCATTTCAAATATTCCACAGACCTGATTCTTGGCAAGGGTTTCTGTGTATTTATCTTTTTTCATTTCCCAGATTCTAGTCCTTCTGTATTGAATGGTTTGCATTTTTATTTTTCATTGCGTGACAGTGCAAGCCGAGAATACTCGATACTCTTTTGCGTGACGCGTTATCAGTGACATTCTATGGAGCAGTTATTTTGAAAGTTATGGACCAAAAGACACTCGTTAAGCGCAGATGAAGCTATAAGGTGCGTATAACTGTGTACATGTAAACACTTGGAGAGTTTGCTAGGCACGAGTTGACAAATCTTAGATTGGAAACCTTGCCGGACACTCTTTCTCTATCTCTTTAGGGGAATATAAAAGCCTGTTTCAAATGTCGTGCTACTGCCGAGCTCCGGGGCCGAGCTAAGCTGGCTCGATTGTAGCTCGACTGCACGACACAAGCACGACTTGGTTTCAGACGTCGAATTTAATTCAGTCGAATAGAACGGCTGTTGCCGAAAACAAAACACAATAATAAAGAAACGGTTCAGCAAACTTTTAAATGTATTCTAATGCATTTGTAATTTATGAATTGAGTTCGGCACGCGGCGGTAGCACGACGTTTGAAACCAAGTCGAGCTACTGCTAGCACGGCAAGGCTTGCCGTGCTATTTACGGCAGTAGTACGACTTGGTTTCAAACCTCGCGCTACTGCGGTGCTAAACTCGAATTTAATTTGATCAATTGAGTTCGACACGGCAGTAGCACGACGTTTGAAACGGGCCTAAGACTCAGCCCCAAACAGGCAAGACGAGTGAATCTACGGCTAGCTTATCACCAGCAGAACGATGGACTATTACAGAAATTCGCCGACAATCAAATATAAAGTTTAAAAAAAGACCAGAATGCGCGAGCGTGAATTGATCAAACGTCCTTTTAATTTCTAAGGCTTACTTTCCGGCAAATAAAATGAACACTATAAACTATTCTTGAAACTGAGAATGTTTTGATCAAAGCTGTGTAAATCGAACTGAAACTTTGTATGGAACCTTTCGTTTCCTGTTTTTATCTCACCAGTTATATGGAATATGTGTGAAAGTGTTCATTATGAATCGGTATATTTCAGAGAGCTACGACCAAGAATACTATTAACCGACAATATACAGAGCGGGGGCAGCTGTAGTGTCAACTACAAATAGCATCTGTCTTTCGTCTCAGCTCTTCTTCCATCGCTGAGGGCAAAGTACACAAATCATGACAGATTAAGGGTTATTAATGGCTATCTTTAAAAGAAGGAACGGGGAACGGGGAACGGGGAAATAGGAATCTTTAAAAGCAGGAATCTTTAAACGAGGAAAATCTTTAAAAGCGGGAACCTTTAAAATGGGGAATCTTTAAAAGCGGAATCTGAAACAGGGAATCTTAAAAAGCGAGAATCTTTAGAATGGGGAATCTTTAAAAGCGGGAATCTTTATGCACCTATCAATGTAAAGCCGGCGGGGGTTGGGGGGGGGAGGGGGAGGCAGGGCATGGGGTGGGGATTTGACATTTTTCAAAAATTTGCCATCAAATTCCCTGCCCACGGGCAAATCATTCCAGTCAAATGTAACCACATTTCCCCACCCCTGGCTGCACATTGTTGTGAAATATCCCAAGGCTGGACCCAAGGAAGGGCGCCCGAGAAGGTCTCCCTCGCGCGCGCCCGTTCTCTCTTTCGCCCACTACTTCCGGGCGCCTGCTACGCAGGCTATTAAAAAGACTGTGGTTACCACCGCTCAGCTACTACAATTTGTAGCTCATTCATCTATAACCTGCGATCCGGTTTACCTTTCAAAAAAAGAAAATCAAACAGACCTCCGGTTGTCGCATCCGGGAAACGGAAGACTGAGGAAAATATAATATTTCAGGACAACTTTATGTAGTGCTTTACAGAGAAATGTCCATTTTTGTGTAGCATTTTGGCGGGAATATTCGTGTATTTGTAGCCAATACGTGCTTCGTTTTACCTCTTTACAACATGTGGTTGTACTGTTGTCATGGTAATTTTAACTTACAAACGTCAAGAAAAATAGTAATCAGGACATAGTTAACTCGAAGCAAACCGCTAACCAGAGTTAGATTGCATTTTCCTTGGGTTCAAATTTTTGTTATTTGCCTCGATCGTCCTGTAGCCCAAAATATTAACTTCGATATTCATTTTATGCCGTTATTTCAGCAACCAATGGGGGCCTGCCGGTGTTGCTCCGTCGTGGTACAGTTAAATATCCTGTGGCTGGCTTTACCAGTAATTGCAACGTACATTACTAGCCTGAATTACATCCGATTACTTCGAGTTGTTACTGAAGGAGTAATAACGACTCGAATTAATCGGATGTAATTCAGGCTAGGTACATTTCGTGGTTTTTAATACCTTTAAATACATAATGCGCCTTTATAGCAAAGGAAAACAAAGACGACTTTTGTTAGTCATCGAAGGTAGTCAGCACTAGTCGATCTCCTACTATTTAGATTAAGTTCATTAACCAAAGAAAGGATATTTACATTAACCTAGACAGAAACACGCGCAAAAGTACATCGTTTAGAGTCATGTTTTGTTTTACAGTTGCGTTCCTCTTGTTCTTGTTCCGATTGACCGTTAGCACAATGTGTGTAAATATGGTTTTCGCTAATAGTGGTTAAAAACCTAAAACTAGATTTATCTTTGGGAGAATTTAATGTGGAAAAAGGAAAACATATATTGCTGTTGTTACTGTTAAGTTGCTGTTATTGAAGGTTGCCCGAAACATATCTTACGGTACGTCATTATATGTCATAGATGATATTTGAAATAATATTTATGTCGTCGTTGTTTCAAATTTGTAATTCACTTACCTTCATGTTGTCGGGGTTTTAAAATTCCCTGGGTAAAAATCCTTCATAAAATGGGTTTTCTCGAATTCAAGAAAATCCGGAATACTTGGCTTCGAATGATTAATATAGCTGACATTACCATTACTCCAACTTACAAACAGTATCCTTTTGTTCTAAATATTTAAAGATTCCCGCTTTTAAAGCGGATGTCCCGCTTTAAAGACTCCCGCTTTTAACGATTCCCCGTTCACCATTCCCATTCTCCGATTCCGATTTCCCGATTCCCCGTTCCTTGTTTTGAAGATAGTCGCTATAAGTGTTAATTGAATCCTAATTAGTTTTTTACAGAGACACCGGAAATCAAAACTTCCCCCCCGTGGTGAATTTCAAAGTCGTATGAATCTCGTCATGAGCAGCACATACTAAATTTTTCATTTCTACCTTACACACTACTTTAACAAATAAGTATATATAAATGAAATCAACACCAAAATCGCTATCTAAGGGTCTATGAGAAAACGTGAACGGACTACTTATTGCTCATCGTTATAAGTCACTGTAACGACTGAGTGATAAAGGTTGTTGCATTAACATATAAAATTAAATTCAGTAGTCTGCGTAAAAACAACTTTCAGCGAATCTATCGCTTCCTATTTCAAACGTTTTCACACACACAAGCATTTTGATATTTTGTTGTGTTCTGTTATTTTTCTTTATTTTTCTAAATTCTCGTTTCCTACACTCCGCATTTTGTACATTCGGCACTCCGCCCTTCGCATTCCACACTCTCGTTTTCCACTCACTGTCTTATTTACTTACTTATCGGAAGACAGTAATATCCATTGCTTATGTGAAGGTTTGAAGGAAAAACTGGAGTGCGGACTACGGAGTGCGGAATGCGGAGTGAGTGGTGCATAACTCGAGATCTCGGCTTGAAATGGGGTATCTCGTTTTTACGCGAGATCTCGGTCTATATAAAGGTTAACGTTAAAAAAGATCAGAACAACGACGTTTCGACCGTTCGACGGTCATTTTCAAGATGAGAAGTAAAAAAAATTAGCATGTTTTTTACTCGGCGCAACTTGAAAATGACCGTCAAACTATCGAAATGTCTTTATCCCTTTTTTAACGTTAATTTTTGTATTGAAATCCGTTTCGAAAAATTTGTCGAGATCTTATGTTGTGACTCAAGGCGGGAATTCTCGACTACCATATTACCAATTATGCGTGGTCTCAAAACCTTGATATTGATTTTAAGAACCTTCGATCATTAGCCATCATTGGCAAAGACAATTATATCGTTGCAAACGTTTCTGGAATCTTGGCACGCTATGGTCATACCTAATGCGGACAATAACTCTTGCCTTGTTAACGTACTTTCCCTTAATTTTTATTCTATGGTAATTTTATTCTTTTGTATCTTTATCACACCACATCTTGGAATTTTTCATTTTTAAGTCATATGGCCTGTTGAAGACCGCAGATCTGGGGGTCGAAAACTCGCATTTTGGAAAGTATCTTTGCAAGGGTCAAGCGTGAGCTCACTAGACCACCCACAGAGTATAACCCAGACCTTAACAAGAACAAAAAGTTTTGTCATGAAGAAAAAGATTTGTCATGAGCAAAGAGTTTGTCTTGAGGAAAAAAAATTCCTAGACAACAATTTTTGACGCGAATTATACTATATATTATAATAAAGTGAAGAAAGGAGATCTAACAACAAAGAAAAAGAACAACAAAAAAATTGTCGTGATGTCCAATTGGGCCACTCGATTTTCCAATATTTGTGTTACGGTTCTGAGTTAAAGATGTTTTAAATTCTAGAGGCACCTCTCTGCAGATTGAAGAGTTATTTTAACTTCTAAAACTCAAACAAGGTCAGTTGGAGTTCGAGTTGGAGTCATGCTGAGAAGCGTCCTTTACGGTAGAACGTCTGTAACTAAATCCTTCAGTTGTTTTCTCCGAAAAAAAACTCAGGTTAGTTGTGTCTGTTTTAGCCAGTTTGTAGCCTTTTTCTTTTTAATTTAATAGCTCACTCTAAGTGACTTTCTTAATTAGAAATACCGCATGTCTAGATATATGTTTCCACGAGTTAAAGGAGCTGTGTCACGAAATTCAGCCAAATTAGGAAATTACAAGAGAATTGCCGTTAATTAAGAGAAACATAAAAATAACTACTTAAAACTTAGAAAGAAGGTTAAAATAACATAACAGAACAACAAATGCCACGGATGGGCAAAACTGAAGAAGATTGAAACGGATTAGCCTGCGAACGGCAGACGTTTCTCCTCGCTCATCGCCGCTGAGGGACGTTTCGCAAGGAGGAACTCACGAAATGTCCCTCAGGGGCGATGAGCGAGGAGAAACGTCTGCCGTTCGCAGGCTAGAAACGGATTAAAATTAGGGTTTTCGAAAACTGTTCAGCCTAACAGTTTTTCAAAGTTGATCCCTGCTGCTTGCAACTTCAAAAATAATGCTCAGGAGCAGGAGCCCATCTACACTTAATATTAAGTTATATGCAAAAGGGAACTTCCCAAGTAAAAACTGTTATAATAAGGCCATAAAACATAAGTAGCAGGCCTACAAACGTACATAGAAGATATCGCGTACCTGAAGTTTAGCCCGCATTGGAATTACTAAAACAAGTGGCAGAGAATATGATTAAGCAAACAGTTCTGTAGAAAACAAAGCGATCATTGGATTAGTTTTAGCACGAATTTTTGAAGTATCTGTGTTGTGGTTTGCAGTCAACCTACAGTGTGACGGATGTCAAGCCACTGGTATCTGGAAACTGCTTACAAATAAATTGGAAGGACGGACACACATCCACGTATGAATACGTTAGAAATGGGCTAATTTAGTTTACCATTATTTCGAACTTCCCGCATTAGAGACCAAGTGCTCATAATGCGAGAAGGTACGAGGAAAAAACCAGAGGGACCAGGGGTCTTTCATGGGTTCCGACACATCTATTTTTTAGTGAAAGAGAATTCAATTTTTAAGTTACGATATGTGTTGTCATGTACATGCAATGTCTCTGAAAGTCTGTGGCATACTCTGAGTCTGTTGAGTAGCGTTGTTCATGCGATGAACACCATGTGTCAAACCGTCGCGTACAAGAGGCTTAAACCAAAAAATGGAAATAGACGTTTTTAGCTTGTATGTCTCAATTTATTTTACCACTTCAGACCGCGTGATGGTACCGCAAAGAACTTTTCCTTCAAATTTTGTCCTATACACGTACATCCATGTGCACATGTATACACAAATTACGAAACGACAAAGGCAAACTCCCTTGAGAATATCACGTTAACTGAGGTGGGAAACAAAACTTCCAAGCTAAAAAGATGTATTATTATAAAACGTTCGCCTTGAAAAGTGGTCCAGGTTGCTTACACAAGGTGGTAATTTCCGTGGAGTTGCAACTATAGGGCTATGACTAGGAATATTTTGTGATCTGGATTGCTGACCAAAACGAGTTATGATTTAACAAGGACGAGGCATTGTCAGTGTGGGTGTGCTTGTTTGTGGGAGGGTTTGCACCTCCTCCCATCATTTTGTGACTTTCAGTGGAGGCCTTAAAACGATCCACTGGCAACAGCCAACGGTCAGTTCTAAACAGTCAATTGATGAATATCGATTTCACAGGAAAAAAATTATAATACGTACAGCTGTAACATACATTTACACGATTACAACTTTCAAAACCTCCGTTCTCAAATAGCTACTAGGTTAATCGTGCTGTAACAACTAACAGTAGATTCGGAAAACTACACAAGTCATTTCCCTTTTTTTGGTTAATATACTATATGTTGAAAATTAAATATGTACATTTCTTTTAAAATCGATCTTATTCTTTTGTTCATTAACTTATTTAAGGTTCCACAGTTGTTGGCTGCGGCTTTGTTGCCAATGTGATAAGTGCAAGCAATCAAATAGTGGTCAGAGGACTATTAATGTCTCATCTCTTCCTGACCCAATAAAACTATCAAGTTTTTCCATTTCCGGTAAGTGGGCGTGAGTTATTTTTAAAAGCTTAAATGTTGGTACAGTTGTTATATGTCTCACAAGTTTCAAACAAGTTGATTTCATTATGTACCGTACATTGTACTATGCAAGGCTTTTGTAGACGTTTACTGTTGGAAAACATATAGCGCGTTACGCAACACAACGTCCCTTACCCTAAACATAGTAATGGAAACCTTGATCGCGTGTATTTTTAAAGAGATAAGGAATGTATTAAGTTGACAAGTTAATTGCTTTTGAATGTTACGTGCGTGATGTGATAAGAATATGACACATAGATATCTTATGACAAAAATGTCAAGACTGTGTATAAGAAAAGAGAGTTGTTATGATTAGGAGAATGAATTAATGAATGTACGGTGTAGTAAACGAGGATCGTTGCTGGAAATAAAGATATACAGTCCAAGTTCCGAGTGTTTGATTGAGTGCGTGGATATTCCCGAACATTTACTGAATAACCCGTTAAAGTAAAATCCCCAGCTTTATTATGCTTACTGTTCTTAACATATACGAATCACTATGGAGTAAGACACACAAACAGCCTTTTCTTTGTTAAAAAAAAAATTCGATAACAATCACCATTTTTTTTCAAATGTGTTGTGACAGGCAAATCATTAACTTGGGCCTTTTAATATAATCTTAGTTGTAAATTGATTGTGATTTTTCTTCCCATTGTTAGGGACGGACCATTAGAAAAGTTATAGGGGGGGGGAGGGGAATTTTCGAGCCGCAGGAATTTTTTTTCGTCATCAAATTCCTTGTATGAATTTTTTTAGGCTATAGCATGAATATTTTTTCAGAATTAATTGGCGTGCAAGAATTTTTTTTCATTTAATTTTCCCTTGCGCGAATTTTTTTTTNGCGTGCAACAAAGGAAATAGGAGACGTCTGCACGCAGGCAAGCCTGCAGAGTGGGATGTCACAAGTTCAATTCTTGGGATCAGAACAATACTCACGGTCTTAAAATAGCTTACTAATTTAGTCTATTTTTTTTTTCAGAAAATAAGCAAAATCTCCTTTTGGCTTGGGAACTTGAAAATGATCATCAGGGAGTGCTTAACTTAAAATGGCTAAGAGAAAATTGTTACTCTGAACCAGCAAGGAAGATACAAAGTGAAGTGAGAAGGACACAGCCACATTTAGGACAGGTATTTTGCTCTCATGACAACAATCAGACAAAGAAGCTTAGAGCAGGTGAAACAATTACCGATCTACTACGAAGAGATGTTTAAAACTTATAAAAAGAGCGAAAGGTACACTAATTATCAAATTATACTTTCACAATAATACATTTGTTAAGCTGTAATTATCAAAACCTCTTTACTACAACATTTAGTTATGATACATGATAAGTCAACATGTATCGGCTTGAAACTGTGATCATACAGTCAAAATGTCTACTGTAAATGAAGGATGTTGACTCCAACAGACTTCTGTTTTAATCACTATTTAACAGCACAGCCTTCCAGAGGTGAAGTATAGTGAAATGATGGAAACTAAGGAAGGTCTCTGGAAGTAAGTTCCCTCTTTTCTGTGTATAAAGGACCCAATAAATGATTGTTATCACCATTCCTAAAGTATATATTGATTGATTTACAGGTTGAATACAAGCACCGTATAAAATTCACTAACAGCCCTGAAATCAATATTGAGCTCGGGGTATAAGCGCTCTAGAAATAAAGCTATCACCATTTCTTCTTTAACATTTGTAAGCCATGTATAATCTATGACAGTCTTAATAACTGACTAATTATTGAATGGAAATCCTGTAGTGTAATTACTGTAAATATACAAGGAGCCCTGTCTAGACCTCTTTCGTTCAGGCAGTTTTACGTTTGCAACACTAGTTGACAGATAGTATTTTAAGTATAAAGCATTCTTTTGGCCCCCATATCTTTTTATCGCGCTCTGTTGATGTTAGTTTAATATTCGACCATCATGCATGTGTTTCCTGCTGTATTTAAGAATGCTTTGCCAACTAAGTGATCATGGGGTGTCATTGGTAAAACAAGTGCCAATTGATGACGAGGAAACTGTTCGTAAGGTTTGTGAAGCTATAGTTACCATAATATCTGAAGTTAGATAGTCAACATGCATTCTCTCAAAAGCTGCTATTCTGTCACAGTTCATTCATCTAGTCTTGAGCTGAATTTTAAGCTGTAATTATTAAACACGTCTCCCGATCAAAACGAAAAGACTGCAAAATGTGCAAATTTTAGCTGTCAGGCAAAGTGGTACATAGATTTTGATGCAAGATAATGTCCAGGGGAAGATTGTTTAAAATTTACTTTTTTTTATCTACCAGGTTGCAAGAAGAATGGGACCTCCTCAGGAAACTATTTATGGATTGGTTAGTGCTAATAACTGCATTGAATAGCGTTATTCCATGAGTGGTTTAAGTGGCTGATGATGATCTCAGCGTTAAGTGGTACTATTTTTTTTAGACATTTAATGTGCTGAGTGTTCCTAATCCAATCAATATTGCGTATTCTGATGTTGAATTGGCTCTGCACATGGATCTGATGTATTATGAGTCTCCACCTGGACTTCAGCTTCTTCACTGCCTAAGGTATAAAGCTAAATTCTAAATCATTGTTCAGAAACTTTAACGGATGCATTGCAATCGAGACACTTCGTTCCACTGCGTCCTCTAACAAGTGCTTTAATGCCGCCGCCCGGTTAGCTCAATTGGATAAGTGCCGGTCTGGCGAGCGGGAGCCGGTCGCGGGTTCAAATCCGGCCCTACCAAAATAACTGAGGAGAGTGGGCTGCCTTTGCTGTGACATGTACAAATGGTTAGACCTGATTCTAGTCTTCTCTGATAAGGACGACAAACCGTAGGATCCGTCTCACAGCTCTTTCACGGTTGTCATTCTTTTGGGACGTAAAAGAACTCACGCTGCTGTTCGTTAGAAGAGTATGAGGCGTAGACCCCAGTGATGTGTAAAAACTCAGTTTCATGGGCTGGGTGGGTAATGAAGGGGTTGATATCATTGGAAAGCAAGTCCTGTTTCATCCTCTGTCATCGTCGTGAGTCACCGCATCGAATTCAATAAAGCTAAAGCCGGAACATTAATTCCGTTTGTCTATGCTTAGATTCGATCCAGAAGTTGAAGGAGGCGAGAGCATATTTGTAGATGGTTTTGAGGTTGCTAAGGATTTAAGAAAACAGTTTCCTGATGACTTCAATAATCTTGTGCGTATACCAGCAACATTTCAGAAAATACACTTTGAAAGGTATTTGTTCTTACTTTTAAATTTTCATCTTTATCACAACCACTAAAAATGTCTATAGGAATAATGTAACACACTATAAGCTTAATCTGACATCGAGAAAACTTTTTTAATGAGCTAAGCTTTTCGTTGTTGTTTTCTTCTTTATGTTGCAGGGATTATCCTGTCAAGCTAGTGTACAAAAGACCACATGTTGTTCTTAATCCAGACAATGAGGTACAATGAGTTATTTTTTACTCGATAGGTACGCGTTTGATATTTACAAAGTTAATCAACAGTACCAACAATACCAACAGTATGGTTCATGTAGTGCCTTCCTATGGCACTCTATTTTCCAAATGTGACTAGAAATTAGGTCCAAGTGGGATGGAGTCAGGAGAGGTTTCTTTGCTTTTCAACGGTAAGGAGCATTCATTCAGAACCTTAAAACACACACTCGTTTTACTCGTACCCCATTGACAGCTTCCACGGAGTGTCCATGGATTTCCATAGAATTCCATAGAGTATCCGTAGATTTCGAAAATTTAGTAGAACTTTCATGGACTTTGGCCTGTGACTCTATGGAATTCGATTAAGCAAATCACCAGCCAGTCAACCACATTTTCATGTCTGCGAATTTTAATTTGACAGAGAAAGAGAAATAAAAAAGCTGCTTTTGAAAATAATAGTTACGTTTAACTGATACAATGAAATGGTACCTTCTATTTACCTATACTGAAGCCCAGTGGCATCATAACGGAATTGTTGAATTTCAAGAGATGTTTGTAACAAAAACCCAGACCCAACAGGCTCTAACAGGCTGGTTCTTTGGGACTATCTTCACACAACACGTTTCTGTTATTATTGTTTTTTGCATTTCTTTAGTGGAAAATACTGTAACTTAGGAACTCTCGCATGATAGGAATAATGACTTTTATAATAACTGCTGCCCTTTTGGTTTGGGTATTTTTAGATTGTGGCTGTCAACTGGTCTCCATCTTTTGAGGGTCCTTTATCTGTACCAGAGGTAAGCATCCACACGCCGAAAAAAGAGGGTCATCAGTGTTGTACCCCATAGTAGTTCCTACCATGAACACATAAACAAGGTCCCCACTCAGAAGAGAAAATGTTGTGTTTTCTTAATAACAGCCACCAGAACATTTTTTTGCTACTGAAAAATAAAATTTACCATCATAGATTTGAAACTATACTCTAAAAACCCCTTGGTTTTTCCATGCGAACCCAAGAAGGAATTAAGACCGGATAAGCACGGCCTTATGTGCGGGAGGTTTGGAGTTTGATTACCTGGTGTAAATTCATTTATCGACTTCTTTACTTTCCGAGTAGCTTCAAATATCTTTAAATATGCCCGTAAAGAGAAGGGGCAGCGTAAAATGAGCGCGCCGTTGGCCTCAGGTTTTTCAGTGTAATATGTACTGTAACGAGCTACTTTAACTGAATAAATTTGCTTAAACGATAGTAGAGACCTTTCTAGGACGACGACGACGTCTGCGAGGAAGCGCAGATTTGACTTGTCTCGTGTATTCTAAAAAATTCACACTGCAAAGAGCTTCTATCATTATACTGTTTTCAACCCAGAAAAGTTAACACGGTTGTTGATATCTCTTGAAGAAGATTAATCCCTCTCACGATCACAAAATGATAAAACTCGGCTTATGTAACAATTAGTCGCCGATATTCACGTCGCCTGGGGCGACTAATTGTTTTAGTATAATTAAATTGATGATTATTCGAGAAAATAAAATTATTGATCAATTTCCTACTCCGAAACATCAACAAATCTGACTGCCATTTTGAAAACTGCTAGTCTTCAATGTTATAATCACCGCGCGGTCATTATAGCGGGATGAAGCGAAGCTCCTAGCCAATCATAGCGCTCTATTTTCGATAATCATCAATGTAATTATACTAAAACATTTTAGTAACCTGTTTTCGTCACTGCAACATTTTCGCTAAAACCCGTAGAAGAATTACGACGACCATCGCGCTTTGCCGCCAAAAATGACGGTGGGTTCACGCCCGCGCACTTCTTAGTACTGAGAACTGATTCACGTAGTCGTCCTCTAGAAGTCTCTGTTATAATATATTTACCTCAAGTAGAGAATCTTACCGGCTGTGACAGGTATGTTTGGTATTACCATAGTTCGTACTATTTGGTTTCTAACGTCCGGCACAACGTGTTCCTTCAAGAAGTCCTTGATCGTGGCCAGGCCCGCGCAGTGAGTAGCATCAATACATCTGGCAAGGATTGCGCAATCAATACTACGACAGGCAGTACACCTTCAGGCCCCGGTTGTTCAAACGCTGGATAGCGCTATCCACCGGATAAAAATCTATCTAATGGATAACGCAATTAGTTTCCCTAATACTTATCCGCTGGATAGTGATTTATCCCATGGATAGCGCTATCCAACGTTTAAACAACCGGGGCCAGATCCTTAAGAGTATATTTAAACATTGTTTTTTTACTTATTATATCAGGCAATCTTTCCCTCTTGTTGTCTATCATTCGTACAGCCACAACAAACTGACCATGTTTGTTCGTTCATTCATAGGCAGATGTTGAGCCTTATTTTAAAGCATATAGGAGGTTTACAAAGCTTCTTGATGAATCTCCAATTAAGGTATGGAAAATGACTGCGGTCATTATTCAGATCTATTCAGTTCATGGATATGCGGGTTAATTTCAGTCTACGCTTAAAACCTCAGCCTTTCTTTTTCGGTTTTCAAATTGATCTCATATTGCCCCATGGGTAGCTGTAAACACAGCATACAATGGGTGGCAAGATTTTTATCAGCAGATAGATAGGCGCCGATCCATCGAAGGCGATAGAATCGAGGGTGACACTTCTAATTATTTTATTAAAATTCTACGGGACGTATTTTGTCCATTGAAGTTTAAGAATATGTTTTAGAAATTTTTGCGCGATGTTAATGTTGTATTTCGAAAATGCTTACAAAGCCTTGGTAGAAAACTGTGATGACACATGTGGAAATATTATGCGTAAAAATAAATAAAAAAGCGGTAAATCTTCTTCCTTGGTAGCCAAGTTCGTTCAAAAATTTAAGGCAACAATTTTGGCACTACGAATTTAGTATTTTTGTGCTTGATTTCCTCCAAGTCTGCACCTTTTTTGGCATCATATTTGTCCCGATCGAGCAACTTTGATGTAAATCTGATTTTTCAACTGGTCACAGAAAGACTGCTTTGGTATTTTAGAAAACTGTGACCATGCAGCCAGGAGACTTAATTTGTTTTAACAACCGCCGCGTTCTTCATGGTCGAAATTCATTCAAGCTTAATGGTGGAGTCAGATTTTTAAAGGTATGTTTTTATTTTAACGACAGTATACTTCCTTACCTTCCTTACTGCTCCCAGAAAATGGAAATGCCTTGAAACTTATTAAATAGCAAATAGAAATATTTAGATTTCAAATAAAAATATTATTGTTTCCTTCGACCAACAATTTGCTGTCTGCCCTCTTCGAATTATTTATGTACTTCTCTTAGTAATTACAACAATTGCAAACAAACACGATAACAAAGTTTACTCTTAACTGCTCCTGTTCCAAGAGTTCCGATAATGGGGACGGTGCAAAGTAAAGTGAGGAGAAAAAAAAATTAACAGCAGGGGGTGTACAGTAAACACCCGCATATAAGAACAAATGGATTAAGAACACCAGGCTGAAATTTGGCCAATAAAGCCCCATTTTTATAATAACAAGATAAGCCTGAAAATTGTAACATGTTCTTATAAAGTGGAAAAAGTGTCATCAGGATAATTACAAAAACATGTAAGTTTATGTTTGCTGTCAGATAACTTCATTTGTTAAAATCAAATTACTGAATAATAATTTATTTTATTTTTCTAAAATATGCTAAATATACCTCTAGCAACATGTTTTGGATAGTATTACTAAATAAAAATTTAAGAACATTTTGAGGCTGATTTGTCATTAAGCACCCGATAAATAAGAACTCAATCAGCCTGACCTCCGAAATCGTGTGTTCTTATATGCGGGTGTTTACTGTATCTGAACGCTTATAAAAGGCCATTAATCAGCAGCTTATTAGCATGTATCACATCATTATTGTGCACAAGTTATAGTGGTCAACGTACAGGGAAGTTGATTGGCATTTGCTTCATTCAAGGCAGTTTTAAAAAATTCACACTGCGAAGAGCTTCTGTCATTATACTGTTTTCAACCCAGAAAAGTTAACACGGTTGTTGATTGAAGGAGATTAATCTCTCTCGCGATCACAAAATGATAAAACGCGGCCTCTAACATTTTAGTAACCTGTTTTCGTCACTGCAACATTTTCGCTAAAACCCGTAGAAGAATTACAACGACTATCGCGCTTTCTCGCCAAAAATGACAGTGGGTTCACGCCCGCGCACTTCTTAGTACTGAGAACTGATTCACGTAGTCGTCCTCTAGAAGTCTCTGTTATATTATATTTACCTCAAGTAGAGAATCTTACAGGCTGTGACAGGTATGCTTGGCATTACCATAGTTCGTACTATTTGGTTTCTAATGCCCGGCACAACGTGTTCCTTCAAGAAGTCCTTGATCGTAGCCAGGCCCGGCCAAGGCATTTTTACAAGCGCCAAATCTTTTGTAAGTTTTGAATGAATTGCTAACCGGCCTTAGTGGAACGTCCCCTGTTCCGCATATTATACATCTTTCAAAATATTTCGCCGTTTCTATTTCGCTCCAATCCCCCGGCTAATTCTCCGTAACCTGCCTGCTGATGCTTACCATATTTGGAAGAAAGTCCGTCGATGCGATGGTGTATTGCCTAATAACTCATCGATCCACCTCGTTTCCGGGCGAGGCAGCTTAGCTGTTTATGCCTGATTGAACTAAAATAATGGCGTTCACGCTCATGTGAAAAAACTTAACGGAAGAAGTGTAGGAATACATATAATGCACGATGAGTTTTATTTTTTTTTACGTCGGCAGTATCTGCAAGAAAAAGTCATCTGTTTATATCCTGCAACTAGCCGCCAAAAAATAGGCCAATACTTTTTTATATAAATTTCAACAATTTATTACATTACAGACAAAAAAAGAAAGAAAGAAAGAAAAACAATACTGCATAGTGCAGAAAAAGGAAATAAAAAGCGGTATACATCATTAATCAAAGTACATTAATTTTGTAAAACGCGGAGTCAATACTTTGAAGAAAGTCTACGAGGAGGCAAGCCTTATGCAGATCTCGGAGGCTGATAACATTCCTCGCAATCTGCATAATCAAGCCTCATTGTTAAAATGTTATCTACGGTTTAGGTTAACGTTCTCTTACATCTGGTTTTCTTCTTTTTTGTATCCAAGGGTTGCTATGTCAACATTGACGAGTTCCGGAACACATTCCAAGTGATGTCGGAGTTGATGGGCTCGTATCAGCCTTGCAAACGGATTGGCAACCAATGCTTTTTATAAAAGAGCATTTTAAAATTTGTCGCGGTAAATGTTACATTGAACAGTGGTGCAATCTACGAAGGGCGGGTTCAGTAAAACTTGGTAATACCAACGTTCACCAGCTACTTTTAAGCAAACTGGAGAGGGATTATACGGTGCTTTGAGTAGCTGATAGTGACCACCGGGTCTGCGGCTAATCTGACACAGCTATACCAAGAGCCCAACTCACTAAACAGGATTTATTGTGGCTTTCCTGCCTGTGAATGTCTCATATTTTTAGGAACTTGTGTAGCCATTTGCGGATCTCTATATTTCGAAATGCTGCCTTAAGTAGACTTCACTTAGGAAGTTATAGAATTTTATGGGGGCCGAGTTTGTTATAGATTGGTCACTCTATAGCACTAGGCAGAGCACTCAACTTAACCATCCTCAGTGCCGAATCTCTGCCGCAGAGCGTGCATTCTGCTTCAGGGCTTCTAATTAGAACAGTCTCTCCAATGAAACTAGAAACTCTGCCTCTTTTGAGGCTGGATTCTAGTCTTTGTCAGTGAAACTTGGATTCTGGATTCCAATCCTTAGTAGGATTCTGGACGCCTTGAGCTCCAGATTCCAAAGCCCAGGATTCCAGATTCCCAAGCAAAATTTTCCCGGATTCCGGAATCATTCATTCATTCATTCATTCATTCATAGTTTATTTGGTAAAGCAGGTTAAGTTAAAAGGCAGCTAAAGCTGATGTGGACCTGCTGATNTTAAGCAAACTGGAGAGGGATTATACGGTGCTTTGAGTAGCTGATAGTGACCACCGGGTCTGCGGCTAATCTGACACAGCTATACCAAGAGCCCAACTCACTAAACAGGATTTATTGTGGCTTTCCTGCCTGTGAATGTCTCATATTTTTAGGAACTTGTGTAGCCATTTGCGGATCTCTATATTTCGAAATGCTGCCTTAAGTAGACTTCACTTAGGAAGTTATAGAATTTTATGGGGGCCGAGTTTGTTATAGATTGGTCACTCTATAGCACTAGGCAGAGCACTCAACTTAACCATCCTCAGTGCCGAATCTCTGCCGCAGAGCGTGCATTCTGCTTCAGGGCTTCTAATTAGAACAGTCTCTCCAATGAAACTAGAAACTCTGCCTCTTTTGAGGCTGGATTCTAGTCTTTGTCAGTGAAACTTGGATTCTGGATTCCAATCCTTAGTAGGATTCTGGACGCCTTGAGCTCCAGATTCCAAAGCCCAGGATTCCAGATTCCCAAGCAAAATTTTCCCGGATTCCGGAATCATTCATTCATTCATTCATTCATTCATAGTTTATTTGGTAAAGCAGGTTAAGTTAAAAGGCAGCTAAAGCTGATGTGGACCTGCTGATAAACTATCTATTGATGAAATACAAATAAAATTTTAAAAAATGTACAGAAAATAGGTATATAAAAAGAATAAGTACACAGTAGTAAGGTAAAAGACTAAACGTTAAGAACAATTAAAATACTATTTCATCTTGTTGAAATTTATATTGTCGAACAAGGGCTGTTTCTCTTAAGAAGCTTTTAAAAAATGTTTAGTCTTGGTGCTCTTTTTAAATTGTCTGGAATGGAGTTCCAGAACAAAGCTCCCCTTGCAAGGGGCGAGCTTTGAGTATAGGCAGCTGTACTCGTAGCAGCAGCCGATATTGACAACTGCTCTGCGGCTAATCTGACACAGCTATACTAAGAGCCTAACTCAGTAAACAGGATATTATTCTGGCTTTTCTGCCAGAAAACCTCGAGGAATGTCTCATAGAGAAGTTTCAGGAACTTGTGTAGGCGTTTATAGATCTCCATATTTCGCAATGCTGCTGTAAGTAGACTTCATTTAGGAAGTTCTAGAATTTTATGCCATAATTCCTATAGATTTTAGTCTAGAGTGGTGAATGGTTGTAAGTTGTAGAGTTTCACAGTTTGTAAAGCTGCCCTTATTGTGCAACAAATCTTGTTGCTGTCCGGAAAATCCTGCGCGTTCAGTCAGGTCTGCAAGCAACAATGCTGATCACTCGAAAACGCACGCTTGTTTAATAGCCAACCCGGGTACCACTTGCTAGCTGAGATTTTTCACCCTGCTATGTTCCGTTTGTACTATTTGTTTAAAATTATTTGAGTACAGTGCCTTTAAACCGGGGTAAGTCTGCCGCACAGCCATTCTTTGTGTCCTCACGCAACGCGGCTGTGTAGCAGACTACTTTTGAATCACTATCCTGAAAGTTATGGCGCGTCTTGGTAATCAAGCGATACACTTCTAAAGGTTGACACACCTCGTGACCCTTGTATTATGATACCATGTTAAACTTCTTTCAAAACCAGCCTGTCCTGTCCTTACCTCTAAGAATCGATAAATAAATTGCATCTACAAGCCACTATTTTACTTTGTCATACATCGTCAAGGACTGAAATTTGCCCTTGGACTCGTGGGAGGCATTGGGCTCAATGGAGTCATCTGCAGAGTGTTGTATTTTCTTTCCATTGTTGTTAATTCCGCATTCAGGTACCTATTTTCTTCATTATAATTAAACACCCCTGAAAACTTACTTGGTCATAAGAGAATGAGGCTAGTTTTGTAAAATTGTTAAACCTGCCGTGACCTACTTATCGATAACTTTTCTCCGATAAAGTAGAAATAAGTGTCATGTTTTTCCAGCGGTAGATCTTTAAGACCAAATGTAGCTAAGGACTGAGAAAAATTGGAAATGGTCAAGCAAAACCTTCCCTCATACTTTGTGTGTAGTTAGTACTTCAGATAAAACTACTCACTGTGGCACTTGTTTGACTTCTAACAAAAACCTGCACTGGGCATCAGGGTGGGAAGTTTGGGCCAAAAATTGCATTTTTTGGGACAATTTTGTCAGGTAAATATTTCAGAAAGCAGATCACCACTGGGTTAAGAATGTGTTTACATGATAGCAAAATATCATCCTTCCTCTCAATAAAAATGTTATCAATTTTCCTCTAGGCCCCCCCCCCCCC